CATTGCATGCGATCATTCTACGCTGGAGCTCGCAAAACAGTCCCTTTGTCAGCACCATTATCAGGTACATTTTCCGGCTGTTTCGTTACAGCTTTTGGAGATTTTTGTGCTCTCAATGAGGGGCGGGGGTCTATCATTGCCGTTCCCTCAGCTACTGCACCAATATGGCACCAACCTCTCTCTTCAAAAAATCATTTCTTATGCGCCTACCGATGACAATGAGCGTACTGGGTGAAGCGATCACCGCTGAATTTACAGCTAAGCTGCGATCCTGGCGGAGCCATGCAGTCCTTTTCCAATGCACATAATATCAACCTGCAAGAGGCCTTCGGTACGCAGCTTTTTCCAAGCTGAGACTATAAATAAACTTGAGGGGTAAGTAATCTCACCATTTTAATATGCTGACGGTGTCTTTTGTTCTGATGACTAATGCGAAATTAGCTTCGTAAAGCTCGCATGATCTGCGCTTTAGACGATGTATTACCGTTGGAATGTATTCGTAAACACCTGTAATAGAAGAATCAAAGTAACGAGGCGGAAATGCCTGGAAAGCCGATGATCACACATCTTCAGTGAGGACACACCAGGATTAGTAGTAGCGAAGGTGCTGTGGTTAGCTGGCGCTTGCAAAAGATATCCTGACTGAAAGAGGACACTTTCAAGGAATTTCTCATAGATAGATGCTCGACCGAAAATGAGAAAAAGTCTTACCTTATCACACTTTGTGACTTTTCTGATGGCAACGAAGTCCATAAAGCTGAAATAAAAAGGTAATTGACCAGCGTGAACGTCATATTTGGTTTCGTATTTTTATGCCCAGGCGAATTGGGCAACAATTAGCTTCTTCTGCCTGGTTCGTTTGCGTCGCGCATTCAACAGTCAAAGGTGCAGATTCACATGAATGCGGTAAATGCTAATCTGCAAGGTTAACTGTCTGAAACAGTCCCTTTCCTTGGAGCAGATACGGGGAAGGAACACATGAGATTGGAGGTGAAGTAGTGAAGCAAATGTGTCAGAGGTCAACGCTACTCTACTCCTTCAAAGTGACTCCGCCCCAAAAGGGCCTCCAAGGGTCGAGCGTTGGTTCCTGATACCTCGCTTGTCCCTTTGCCTTGATCAGGACTTCTCCACAGCGCGATAAAGGCATATAACCTCGAAAACAATTTCGCCAGTGCGCGAGAAAATATTTTCCGGTTGTTGACCTTTCGTGGTTTTTCCCGTGTCATGTGTGCTACGTAGCCCTTGTTAGTAGAGCTGACAAAGCCCTATGCCGATTAGAGCACTTCATCGTTGGGGATTACCCCAACAGGGTTTGGGGAGGGTCGTATTCGGTGGCTGAGAAGAGGCGAGTCGTGTTTGGTCCAGGGAAATTTTTTGATAGTTCATTTTCATTGTTTCACGGACGCTATAGGGTGGGGGCGGGGGTCATTCGCCTGGTGAGAGGAATTTACGGCGCTGGGGGAACGTCTTTTCGGTTGTTGACTTTTAGAGATTTTTTGTTTCACACGTCATATATCCTTTCCAGCTCTCGACGGCGAGCGGGGAACTAGGGACGTCGTATCAAGCCACTTACTAGGAAAGGGAGTTACATAGACTCTACTTCAATTATCGATGTGCACTGATACCGCTACCATTTTCAATAGTTGAATTGAGTAGCTGCCTGATTATAACCCCCATTTCACCTCCGGTCGTCGCCAGTACTTTGGAGTACACTAAAATTTTTTCTAGAAAACTAGGAAAAGTGACAGAAAGCTGGGAATAGTTGTAGTAAGATGGTATTCAGGACGAAGTGTGAGGAGGGAACGGCCTACGGAGAAATTTTGGCAAGAGAGAGGAGTTGTGGTGGTTGCATCTGCAAAAAAATTCTCCAGCGGCAGGACGTACCGCAGTCTGGTCCTCTTTCTTCTCTCACTGGCGTCTGTTCTCTGCTCTTAGTGATCTGGCAAAGATTCCAAATATTCCAGAGCTAATCATACTTTCGCTAGTAGAGCATCTCAGCTTTAACAATGACCAATCGATTCTAGAACTTCGTGTACCTTACAGGAGGTTGATAATGTGAATCGCGACAGCGAATCTCATCATACACCAGCTTGCTGATAATCTTTTTTCCATCGTACTGACGTGTCCATCCACCAAATTGCTCCGAATTCCTGCACTGCCATCTTAATACCAACTTCTCTATGAAGTAATTTATGCACAGAGAAAAACCAGAAGAACAAATAAACAGACACACACAAGGCACTTTTCAGGCTGCGTTCATACATTGCGGCAGCGTCCACCAGCGACCATCAGTGTTTCGAGCGCCCGTCAGCGACTATAGAAGTATAGATATTGATCTAGCGAACGACAGCGTATACCAGCGTCCGCACGCAGCCAGGAGTAGAGAGTATGGGGAAGTAGGCGAGTAGCAAACTGCTGGTATAGTATGGGGGAGTAGGAGGGAGGAGACAGCTGAATTAAGCGTCGTGAAATTGTGGCGTGTGCAGTCGCATCGTGTTACCACAAAAGTAACCCCGAGACGCTCGGCGCTCCTGGAGGCTGGAAGACGCTGGTTAACGCTGATGGGCACTGGTGGACTCTGCAGC